CCCATCAGGTATTTAAACAGAGGGAAAGTCCTGCTGAGCCTGCACGTAGCAGTGCCTGGGGTTGCTCCCCCGACCACTCGGTTTTCCACCCTGTGCAGATTTGCAGGGGGAGCACTCCAGCCCATCACCAGGCTGTTAATGAAGATGTTAACGAGGAGCACAGAAGCCAGCTCGCAAAGCTGAGTTGGGCTCCCAGAACCTTAAAAACCACAGCGAAGAGCAGGTCCCAGCGGGAGGACTGCGGGAGCCTTGGCCCCCGGAACAAAACCCACACCTTCAGCTCCAAGAGCATCCCTGGGCCAGCCATGCAGGAAGATTTTTAAGCAGAAAAATCCCATCCACAGCACACGTCTTCCCATTCATCAGCCACAAGATCTGGTGGTAGTGCTTAGCCCGGTCTTTTGGCAGCTCAGGACCTGTTTCTGTGGCAGGTAATCCTCTCTTCCTTGCATTTTTCTGTTTAAAAAAATAATAATAAAATCTCGTTCCCTTTTCTGAATCTTGTCCAAATTCATTCACTGGCCCTCTGCCTCCCTTCTGAATGACTCCACGGGAGTCCTTGAGTCTCAGCATTATTATATTTTATTTATACGGCACAATAAACGTACGTGGCACTTTTCAACATACATCAAACAGCAAGGTCCATTTTATGATGAGTGTACAATTTGATTCAGAAAAACACTGTATATAAAACGCAACAGTCCCATGGCCTGGGGAGGAGCCTGAGAGCTCTTTGCTGTATTTCCTCAACCCCTAGAATTAAAACCAGGGGAAGAAAACCCCGTCCAGAGACACCAAACGGCACCTTGGTGGAAAACACAAACAACCTCGGAGGGGCTGAGCACCCCAGGGCAGCTCCAGCCAAGCACCAAGGAACCCCCACGGGTTTCAGTGGCCGGGGAGTCCCCTGGGATAAATAAATGGTGAGGAAGTGGCCAAAGGGGGCTCTCGAGCCCCCTCGTGCTCTCTGCTGTACACTCAACAAAGCGTGGGACATCCATCGATTAGCGAAATGGATAATTTTAGAATTAAAATCCCTGCGGGTGCCCCAGACGAGCCTGATCCGAAGCCTTTTCCTCCCTTGGAGCAGCCGAAAATCTCTCCCGGGAATTTCAGAGGACCCCAAGCCGACCTCGGCACGGCTTTGAAAGCGTGAGGGGCCGGGAGCCAACCCGGGGGGCTTCTGCAGGTTGTTTCCCCCCCGGCTACAGCAGAAGCCGCGGCGTCGGCGCCGCTCGCGCTGCCGGGGGGATGTTAACGGCGCGCGGCATCACAGAGGTGACAACGGAACAGCAGCCCTGGGATTTCTTCACAAGGAATCGTGGCAATTGTTCATTTCTGCGCTGCGCTGCCTGTATTCTCAGAGGTTGAGATGATAATGCTAAAGCCGTTTATATTTTCTAAAATACTTTGGGGCTGGGGGATTCGGCGTTTTTCAAATCACGGGGTTTCACTAGTCTCAAATAGCTAGGCAGACTCTTTTTTTTTTTTGGGTTTTATGTTATTTTACTAAGCACCCAGGCATAGAAAGTTCAAGGATCATCCATAACACAGAGGATTCACATCGTTTAGGCAAACAGGCTCCTGCCCCAGGCACTAAAACCACAGGGGCTTGAAAAAAGCTGTGGCTGATGGATGACCGAGTGCTGCCTGTAGAGGAACAATCCTAACAGACAACTTGCTGGGAGGCTGCTGGCATGGGACACGCTGCTGGAGCAAGGTCTTTCGAGCACAAATGTTCCTTGTCCCCATCACAGCTGCTGTGCCACCAAGCCCCCCGCATGCTTTAGGTCCCCCGGGTTGTGCCCAGCCCTGCACACCTCACCCACACGCACCGGGGATTTTCGTGGTCACCTGGTTCCTGGAGCTGCTCTCCCCAAAATAAACCTCTCCTGGAGGAGAAACGGGAACACGAGCACGCTTCAGGCACCGCTTCGGTTGCTAAGGGACATTCGTGCAGAGCTCGGCCAGGAAAACCTGCTGCAGGAGGGAAGCGCGCGGGCTCCGCGCCCCCGTCTCCCCCCACGCACTGCTTGCACGCCCACCCACCCATCTCGCACCCTCCCACAAAGGATTTGCCCCCAGATTCTGCCTGCAGAGGCTGCGCCCACACATGGGGGGGACAGCCAGACTTGTCCTCATGGGTGAGGATTGCAGATCAGAGCAGACCTGGAGCAGGTTTCCAGGGTCAGCAGTGTGGAACGGGGCGAGGGCTGGTGTCAGCAGGGATGTGAACCTCGCACCCTCTGCTCATCTGGACGCCTGGCCCCGTGCCACCATCCAGAAGGAAAACTGCTCAGGCTGCCCGGGGCTGAAACCAGAGCGGGGGGGTCCCCGTGTCACCGCCAGAATCGGTGCCATCTGCTGCTACGTGACCGCGGGACCGCGCGCTCCCGGCGCTGCAGCCGGCTGAGAGTTTGAACACATTCTGCCAAATTAGTTACAGAAATGTAATCACATCTATACACCAGAGAGACTGCTAACGGCTGACGAGCGCGAGGCAGGCGAGGACTGGAGGTGTGCGGGAATGCAGATGGCCTGGGACACGTCTTTAAAGCCATTCAGCGTTAATTGTTGGGAGAAGTCCCCAGCCGAGGCTCTGCCTGGCGCTGGGTTTAAGCTGGGGCCTTGGAGGAGTTCATCTTCAGCAATCGCCACTTCACATCTTCCTTCCGTATCGAGGAGGAGAAAGTATTCCATTATCTCCGTTATCGAGAAACATCTTCCTGCTGCTTTTTAAATGCAGAACAGGAATACCTGGTACAATGCCTGGCTTGCCTCCGCCGGGATTGCCGGGTTAACCGTTTCCATGTGTGAGCGAGGCTGTGCCAGCGCTCGTGTTCCTGTTATTTCTGGTAGAAATAAATAATAATAAAAAAGTAATCTCTCCTAATTCCTCCAGACAGATGCTCGCTTCACAGAGCTGTCAGGTGTCAGCTCGTCACCCTCAGCAGAGGCGACAAAATCAAAGAGATCCCGGGCAGCCCCTGATACATTTTTGAGGCCAAACAGCCTGGTTTGGCCAGCCAGGGACAGAGATGCTCCCCATGGAAAATGTCTTCTGAAGCCCCGGGCATAATTTATGATGTATTAGTGACAAGTCAGGCTGGGAAGAAGCTTGTGCAGGAAGGTTTGCAGTGAGAGCCAGAGCCTACAGAGGCACCTCCGACCCCTCCTGCTGCTGCAGCATGAGAGCAGGAGCTCGTGGCAGGGCATCCATACCCATGTACGTGTCGGTACACTACAAAACCTCCTGTCACAAAGTGCTTGATCTCAGAAAGAGTCCGAAAGAGTCAAAAACCTCGGCTGTCCATGCACGATCCCCTGCTAACAGTGTGCACCTTGGCGTCTGTTCTCGGTGCTCTCGCAGGACCTGATGGAAAGCAGGGAGGGGAGCAGCCGAGCGGTGTCTGCAGCCGAAGGCTCCACGGGACGACGTTTAACACATCAGAGAAAAAAAAAGGCACGGAGCACGGGATGTGCTGTGCAGCAGGATCGCTCCCAGGCACATGCCCGTGCAGATGCTCAGATGTTTTATAGGGCGGCAGAATCAGCATTTGCTTTACAACTGACCCCGATTGCTAACGCGGTGAAATCTGGGGCCAGGCACCGTGCCGAGGGCATGGCAACCAGCGCACACCCCGGGCAATGTGGGCTCACGTCAGCCCTGTCTGTGAGCTGAATGGGGTCAGACGGCAGGTTCGGGGGAATTTCTGCACTCGGCCAAGTCCTTTAGAAAGCAGCTTCGGAAAAGAAAAGAAGCAGCATCCAAAAAGTGAGTCATGTGAGGAGGAATTAGTGCTTCATTAGCGCTGGGGTTTACGAGGAGAGCTACCGGCCCTGTGGATGAGGGCAACACGCAGCTTGCACTAATCCTGCCTCTGGCAAGTGGCGAGTGAAATCGCTGAGAAGAGAGAAAAGAAGAAAGAAACTTTCTGGATGGGAAAGCAGCGTGGTGGCAGTGCTCATTGACCAAGAGGAACCAGCCCTTATCATTCACAGTATTTCAAGCTCGGGTGTCCCGGGGTGCAGCACGCTCCACCAGCTTGGAGCATGAATTTTGAAGTAGTTTTTCCTCCATTTTTTATTTTATTTTATTTTTTTTTCATTTTGGACAAACTGGCCGCAGATGCTGTTACAGCACCACGCGTCTCCATGCTCCAAACGCGGTTTCTGGTGGACCCCACAGAACCAGATGGAAGCCAATGAGGCAGGAGTTGCTGTGGTTATTGCTCTGCTGGTCGAGATTTTGGCAGGACACACAGTGCCGGGGCCAGGCATAAATATCCCCTGAGGATATTAAAAGCCCAGTTGGGCTTTTGCTCAAAGTGCTGCTGTACTGCAGGAGATGCACTGCGCTGCAATCGCTGAAAGCCAGAGCATCTCAGCACCAAAAGCCTCAGCACGAGCAGCTGAGCCCCAGGCATCACCATCACCACGAATAAATCCATCCTAAGAGCTTTTTGCAATACCAACAAGGGGTGGGGATCTGCTGCAGATCAAAGCCTTCCACTTAGGGATCTGCACGGCTGAGGCAGGGCCAAGGGTGCACGAGAAGGCAGCTTGTCCAGAAGGACGTCTTGGGCACCTGGATTATTTCAAATGGCTCCAAATGCCTCGAGTAATGAAACTCTCATCCCTGAATCTTGACCAGTGGATGGAAACCAGGCCAGGCTAAAGCAGACGCTTGCTGGGCTGAATCACTTCCCAGCAGCTGCATCGACAACGTCTCCATTGACTGTGTGAGGGTGTTCAGACACCCGGCGCACACGGCGACATCCTCAGCTGGGCGGGTGATTATAGGTTTCCTCACCCGCAAACCGAATGTCTCTGCAGAGCTCCCTGGATTCTGAAGGAAATTTAAGGCAGCTACATTTAAGTTGTCTCCACTTAGCGAGATGAATCCCGCCTCCAATGCAAAATGCAAGAGCCTTCACCTCTCTGCACGTATTTGCTGTATTTTTTTTTTTTGCGAGCAGTCAGAGGAATAAAATGGGAATGAGTCATGAAGAAACTTCTTCCTGTAACGGTAACACGAGAGCGCAGAGATGCACTTTATTTGGCTTAGTTACTGGCACGGCGCTGCCAAAATAAAAGCAGCCAACCACACAAGCCGGTGTCGAAGCACTTCTGACCTTCGCCCAGCAAAGGTTCGCGGGTGAACCTCTGCAGCATCCTCGCTGGCTCGGCAGGAGGCTGCTCCATGCCACGGAGCTCTCCTACCTCCATCCTCCTGGCCCAGAGCTGGTAATTATTTCTTTCTGCAGAGATTCCCTCTACGGCTGCTGAAAACAGCTCTGTGCTGATCGGGATTTGCTTACTGATGCCTTTATCAGGCTTTCAGTACCTTCAGCCCTTCCTAGGGTCTGATTGTCTCACCTGCATTCCCCCCTCCTCGGTTATAGCCAGGCACAAATTACGTGCACTGCCTGGGATGCAACAGGTAACGGCTGCCTGGAGGAATTCACCTCTTGCTACGGGAGCGCCCAGACATGAAATTGCAGCAGATTACAGAAAAAGAGTGTAAGGAAGATGCATCTTCGCGTTAAATCTGATCGAATCGTGTACTTGGTGATCTGCTTCAGCTCTGCAAGCCGCGGTGACTCAGTGCCTGCTGGCCCGATCCAGGCAGCTCGCTGAGACAGCTCGGTGTCGCGGCACCGCCAGCCTGCTTCTGCCAGCGCCCTGTTTATCTGCACTTAGTGTATCAGCGATCTTCCATCTCTTTATGCAGGGCAGTTTGCTTTGCTGGCTGAATTTGACAGGAGGAGGGATGGAGGACGTGAACTCCCGTGCTTTTTCTCCCCGTGGTTTTCATCCCTGAGCCCGGAGGGGGATTTCTCAGGGGCTGGGGCAGGAACGTTTCTCTGGGGTTTTCGCTCAGTCTGGCTGCTGCTAAAGTTGGCCGTTAGCCCTCAGTCCCGAATAGGAAAAGCAGAGTCCTACCTCTGAGTAGTTTTAGCAACAGTTTTACTGGGATTTTTATCTACCCAGTGGTTTCTTTACTGCATACAAACTTGCAAAGCTTTCCCTTGTAATGTTTTTATAGCCAGCCCAAAGCTCCCTGATGTGTTTGTAATGAGCCCCATGTATGTATAATTTAGGATATGTTTAATCTCTCTGCCTCTGTAATAAAAAATTTACTGTTTTGGTTGGTTTGGGGCTCTTTCTAAAATATCATCATTTTTGTTTTTTCCAGGCTGACCCAAGAATCCCATGTGGTTGAGTCAGGCTGCTCCAGTAGGGATGGGGAGTAATTGATGTACCGGAGATGATGACCTTTGCTGGGCTGAGACTGCATCTCTCTGTTATTCCTTCTTTCTTTTTTTTTTTTTTCTTGAAGTCCTATCTGCATGCGGTTTGTTTTCATCCAGCCCGAGATGGATGGTGCACGGATTTAATGAGGTCGTGTTTTCCCACCAGTTCCATTTGTAGCCATTTAATGTTCAGCTCTGAGTAGTAGATTGAGTTAAAGGCTATTTAAAAGTCTATGATGCAGACAAGCATTCTGCCCAATTTTTATTCTTTTACATATTTGTTAATGAGCCTCTCCAGGGTAAAGGTGAAGCTTATGGTTCACTTCTTGGAGAAGAAGCCAATTTCATATTCCTGGGTTATGCTGTGGCTGCTCAGATACTCTGAGCTCCAGCTCCTGACACAGAGCGAGTGCATTTCCTGCACAAGGGTAAAAACATAATCATCGTGGTGTTAATGCTGGGAAAATTCTGGCAAACGTGCTCTTCTGCTGAGGCAGAAACATTTTATGGAGATGTGGAGAATGGGCTGAGCATCCCTGAAGGGGGGCAATTCTTCCCCATACCTGTCACTGCGTCCAGGGGACGCCCGGGCTTGGGTTGTATCCTGCCAGAAAACTGACCTGAGATGATGATTTCTGCTTGGTCTCAGGACCAAGGATGCACCACTGCAATTCCCTGACTAAATGGAGATGTCAGGGGCTATTTGGGACCTGTCCTAGTAATTGCACACAGGGGGATCTTCCATCCAGGAGGCAGCTCCGGGATGAGCTGGGATCTGTCTGCATCTCCAGCCTTCATCTGCTGGCTTGTAGCCTTGAGGGCTTCCTGCAGACAGCCTTGGAAAGCACCAAGGAAAGGTAGCTCCACATCCACCTGGGGGCACAGCTCACACGTGTGCTGGGTTGAAACCATGGCTGTGATGGACACCCCCAGCCCGCTGATGTTTGCCATGTCCCCATGTCACTCAGGTAGGTGGCCAAAAATTCATCCACTTTTTCACCATGGCAAATACACGGCAGAAGGCAACCCCCCCCCCGTGGTTCTCCATCAAATCCTGAAGCCAACAGCAGCCAAAGGCCCCCAGGCAGCACCACCCCTCCATGCCACCAGCTGCAGGGGGTGTTCAGCAGCATTCCCCCATCCTCTGCTGCTCCCCGCTCTCTTTTTCCCCAGAATTTGGCCAGCCTTTATGACAGTGACTGCTAAACTCACAGCACAAAATCCTAGGTATAACGCCCAGCTGCACAACACTCGAGCCATGCGCGTTCTCCGTCCTCTACGTGGCTCATGGAAAATTGCACGTACCAATCCCCTGTGCACGCCCAAAGCACTCAGAGCATGCAGAGATGGGCAGACACGGCAGCAAGCAGCGGTGACACACGGCACAGCCCCGAACATCCCAACCCTTGTGGTGCTGGGGTCCAAGCACGACACCCAGCAAGACCCAGCAGCATCCCGGGGATGGGTTCTCCACACCCCCAGCACTCAGCGCGTATCTCCACACACGCTTCCTCCAGGGGAGGCAGGATGGTGAAAACAGCCACCGCTAGTCCCCGGGCTCTTTAGTTGAAGGGAGCTGTAAAAGGAAAGCTCTCTGCCACATCCCTTTGGACTAACTGCCTTTGAAGCGATTTTACTCCAGGTTCTCTCGCAGCTACTGTCAGGTTATTCGTTCTCTCTGTCAAAACCTTTTTATTCACTGGCAATCTCAGCAGGGTTCCTCACTTGTTAATATTGCTGATTAAATTTCATCGTCTCTAATGTAAATATTCAAAGAGACTTTCCGTCTTCCCACCATTTAAATAGCACAGACCGCGCACTTACACACGCCTGGTACAGGAATTAATTGGAAGGGACTAAATCAGAGGTGCTTGCGCAGGGCACATGCAGATGGGGACTGGACACGGCACGTTCCCAGGCACAGCAGAGGGTCCCCAGGCAGCTCGCCAGCCCCCGGCATTGACCCAGACCCAGCCTCTCCTGCCTCAATAGGGGAGAGCAGGGAGCCTCGTGTCCGCCTGCAGGGCATCCTGGCTGGGCACCTCCTGGCACTGATAACCCCACCGAAGAGGGTCTCAGCTGGGGCTGAATCACTGATTTTGGACCAGGAGCTCCTCCCAGCCAGCATCCTCTATTTATTAAGCACCATTTAAGATTTTTTTTTCAGCTGCCTCCTGCAGTGCAAGGCTCTGGCATGAGTCCCCTGCCCTGAAGACCTGGTGCTGGCAGAGGGCAAAGCTGGTGGTGGTCTCAGACAGCCACCGGCCCGCTCATAAAACCCTTTCCTCCGCAGGTTCCAGCAATAATTCCCCTCCTGGTTATAGGAGAAAGCAGCCGCTCCTTGAAGGGCTTTACCTCTTCTGTTAATGGGAGTTGCTTAAGGAGAGCACTTCTAAAGAGGGTCATAAATCTTTGATGAGGATTCACGAACGCGCCGAGCAACGCCAGGCCAGCTGAGAGTGAAAGAGGGAGACAGATTATTCCTGCAGCGCCCCGAGCTCCCTCTGCAAGGCAGGGGCCCAGGAGCCACAGCAAGACCCCGCTGCTGAAGGCGAAGCTGGCCAAGGGGCTTCAAGGGGTTTTGGTGTCACAAAACCGGCCTCCTGTCCTTAAACCTTCCTCCTAGAGCCTCCCATGGGGGCATCCTTCAAAAAGGAGCTGGGTCCTAGGTTAAGAAGCGTTTGCCCTGTGTCTGTGACCCTGTTATGAATATTGGGGGGTGCTGCTGTACGCGTGCTGGGAAATGGGGTGGTCTTTCACCTGCCCCTTCCTCTCTTGAAGGAAAAAACAAAAAAAAAAAAAAAAAAAAAAAAACACCAAAACACCCAAGACTGGGCATTTTCTGAAGGACAGAGATAAATCCTGGGCCATCAGACACCGCTAAGAGCTTCATCGCTCCGCTCGCTGCTGCTCGGTGCCAGCAGTGCCCAGCAGTACATTTCCTCCGCTCTCCTTCGCCATCGAGTCATTCCGTCTGTCTCTGGACGGAGGAATGGCATTCTTTTCTCTGGCATATGACAGACCATAAATCCTGAGAAGTATTGATTTCAGCTTCACCATCAGCGGCCAAATACCGGCATCGCTTAGGCAAAGGGGAGCGCGGGCACGGTGTGTCACTGCTGCTGCTGGGGACAGCCGCGGGGAGGTTTGGGGAGGCGGAGGAGCGCTCTTATTGATTCAGCTCCACGTTGCGAGGCCCTTCCCCTTCCTGCATTAAGGGCTAATTTTAGGCTGGGATGATTTGATAATGCTCATCATGCAAAGCTGCTCCGTTTCCCGTCCGAGGGGGCCGGTGCTGCCACCCCTGGGTGCCACCATGGCCCTGTCCCGTGCGCCGCTGCTTCTCCACCGCTGTCCCCACCTCTCCCCTTCTGTCCCTGGAGGCTCCAGCATCATCCCTCCAACTATGGGCGAGTTCAGGCAGGGCTGGATGGAGACAGTGCAGGGCATGAGGTCGGGGGAACCCAAGGCTTGTCCCCAAACCAAGCTGGGGCTGGAATCCAGAGCTATTTCTGAGATTCCAGAGCTGATTCCAGCCAATCTAACTGGGATGGTGTGGACAGGAGCCTGGAGCCAGGACAAGGCTCTGCCCTGAGCTGCTCCCTGTGCAGCTGTGCAAAAGATAAGTGGTACTTGAAGCATTGCTCAACAGGAGGATGGAGGAGGAGGGTGAGCTCATCCCAGCCTTTCTCACCCCAAAATGAGATCCCACTGGTAAGAAAGACCGAGGTGTGGGGGGCACAGAGCAGGCTCTGTCCCAGCCCCTAGCAGGAGCCCTGGATCCCTGCTTATCCCAGGAGATGAGGGCGTAGAGGCTGGTACCCCCTGCCCTGGGGCAGCCTGGTGCTGTCCCCCCCCTTCCTGCAGCCGCACTGCGAGCACTGCAGCGAGCGGCGAGATGTGGGGCCAAGAGGAGCTGCAGAAATCCAGGCGTTATCCTCCACCCGTGCTGGACACCAAGCCAAGGCGCCTCGCTTTATCGCCGCAGGACAAATCGCAGAGCTCTCCGGGGGGCTCCTGCAAACCCAGCCCACCCTGGCACCGCTCCCCGAGCCGGCAGAGCCGCGGTCACCCTCATCCCTCCGCTGCCAACTGAGTCACAGCCACGCAAAGCCCTGGCTGAAATGACGGTGCAGAGCCTCGATGCTGCCTGGTCTGAGCAGGGCGAGGCTGCTGGCACGAGCCCAGCCTCCGGCCCTGCACACATCCAGCAGAAATACTGCAGATCGCCTGCAGCCAGGCAGGGGAATCGGAGCTGATGGAGGAGCAGGGACTGGGCAGCAGCCAGGGGAAGGGAGGGATGCTGTGAGCTCCCAGCTACCTGCTGCAGCATCCCCCTTCACCAAGAGGAGCACCAGAAAAGGGGGGGGATGCACCCCACTCCCTGCCACGCTCACTCCAACCCCATTTCTCTCCCCTCTGCTTTCCTTGCCCCCCCTTTGGGCAAGGGCTGGAGCTTAAACACAGCTCCCACAGGTGCAGGGGGGGGAAAGCTGCCTACCCAAAGGGCTTCCTGCAGCTCTTTCAGCCCACTGAGCCGTTCTCCCTGCAATCAGAGCCAGCTGCGTGGCCACCCCAGCCCCTAAGAGGCTGCACAGTTTGGTGCCAAGCAGCCCCCGACCATGGGGGGTGCCCAGGGTCTGGAGGTAAAAGAGGGGGGAATGGGCAGCCTGCGAGCATCACGCTGTCTTTGCAGAGCTTTTAAAAGTTTGGCACAGGGGATATGGGACCCGAGAGGCATGCAGGATAATCGGAGGCAGGTGGGTGGCACCGGCAGGGCTCCTGAAGGATCTGGTGGGTGCAGAGCCTGCGGTGCCTTCCCCCAGGCTCTGCCCAGCCCAATCTTCAGCAACATGAGCAAAAAAAAAGCCCTAGAGTCAATTCCAAAAGCTCTGCCAGTTTAGTGGTGGAGAGACACTTGTTGTCATCATTTGGCCAGACGGATGGCCAGCCCTGGCTGCCCCCAGACCAGCAGCGCTCATCTTTCAGCTTCTTGACTCGTGGCAGCATCGTTCAGAAAGCCTCTGCCTGCGCACTCAGGGCAAGCTGGAAACTGCGCCCTGAGCAAACCTGGTTAACCTGTGGCTAACGAAGGCAGCAGCGAGCTGCCTGGGTGAGGAGCATTTCCAGGGCTCTCCCCCCATGCAGGGAATCACCTCCTGATGCCGTCCTGCGCCTCCTGATCCACAGCAAGCTTCATCCCTGTGCTGCTCCCGCTCTGTGCATGGGGCTCAGCCGGGGCTGGA